GGGGATAGCTGTGTCCCTGCCGCGGGTGAGAGGCTTCTCCATCCCCGCGGAATGGGAGCTAATGCTCAGCATCACCCGTTAAGGTCACCATGGCTGACAGAGCTGCTGCGGAAAGGGCTTGTAAAGACCCCAACCCCATCATCGACGGCAGGAAAGCCAACGTCAACCTGGCCTACCTGGGTGCCAAGCCAAGGATAATGCAGCCAGGTGAGGAAGCGGCTCTGATCGGCTTTTCCCTCTGTACCTCACCTTTCTGAACAGAGGAAAACTTGTCTAAAGGCAGCGCTGTCCGGCTCTTCCCTCTACTACAGTCCCTGTTTGGGTTTGCTTTGGGTTTGATTTTTAAATGCAGCGTGTAGTGACTTCCTGGCTATTTTGTTTCTGTGAAAAGCAATCGGAGAGAAAATATCCATAGTTCCCCAGGAAGACTTCTCCAGCTCAGGCACTTCACTGGTTATTCCTACTGCCAGGAACGCGGTGGTGCTGACCATTTACAGTATGGTTGTAGGGAATGATTGGCCCAGGAATGGAATTGCTTCCAATATGTGCGGTCTTATTAATACAAACAATATCTTAATGCAAACTCCTCAAACAGATGGGAGCTATTACACAGACTTTAAAACAAAACGGCTCTTCCTCAGACCACATCTGAGCCAATCTGATGGCCGAGCCACTTCCCAAACGGCTGCTTTGCAGCGAGAGAGACGGGAGCACAGAGCGTGTGTACGTTTGGGCACTAAGGGAGGCCACTCTGAATTCCCGTGTGCTGAGCCTGAGTGAGTAATTGTGGGAGTCTTGTGTGAGTAATTAAGTGCCCACCAAGGAAAGAAGGGGTTTACGCTTGGGGGCTTGAAGAACAGAAATGAAGTTAGGATTTGACCCCCCCATGCTAAGTCCTCACGAGTAGAAATGGCTTGATTTTAGGTCTGTAGGAAGCACACAAACACTGATGCATAGAAAGTACCGTATTATCCCTCAGAGGCTAAAGTTTGGGACCAGAATGCAGCACAAAATAAAATGTGAATGCATACCTCGTGCTTGTTGTTTAGAAAAAGTTGTTCTTCTAAACATCTCTAGGAAAGCGTGTGCTTTACTGTTTTAAGTTCTGTCTGCATGTATCTACGTGCACGTACACATGGATTGATGTATTTTGCTTTCTATCTTGCGGTTCTACAGCTTTTCAGACATCGTCACTGGAGGTTGTTAGTGAAGGCTGTTACTCTGTGTTGGGGTGTGTGTGTGTATAGCATTAAAAAGTGGCCAGAAGAACACCTATACAGAGAATGTGATGTGTTTTTGTTGGTAGGTTTTGCCTTTGGTGTCCAGCAGCTCCATCCAGCTCTCATACAGAGGCCTTTTGGGTAAGTCTGTTCAATGGGACCTCAAACAGGGGAGGAAAAAAATTTTTTTTTTCTTTTTTTTTAAAAGAAAACAAAAAGTGTGATTTTTGAAGGCCTCTTGCAGTAGCAGCCTTATAAACTCACCAGCAATGCTGAAGTTCTCAGACTTATAAATGTATCCCCCTAAATGTGCTCACCTTGTCGGTCATGTTCTAAATGCCGCAGCTGAGTCAAGTTGTGTGGGACGTGTCCCTTCCACCTAAGCAGTCCGGTCCCGTATGACCCTATGATAAAAGAAGGAGGTATGACTTGATGCAAGATTGCTGTGCCCCATTTCTCTTTTTTTTTCAGCTTGACTCAATGTTATTTATCTCTTTCTAATCTGACAGGGATCGTTTACAGTTAAGATAACTGATCAGAAGGATATGATGATAAGAGGTGGAATAGTTCTGTTTGGAATTAAACTCTGTAACCAGTAGACTCAAACACAAACAAGCTAAAATGGTGATTAACGATGCATGTATGTTTTTTTTCATATAGTCAATAGACCTCCGTGTGCTTTTTTATTTATTTATTTATTTATTACAGTAATGAAGTGGTGTTGATAGCTAAACTGTGTGCTTTTATTTAATTGAAAGAGCTGTAGTGAAAGTTTTTTTTTTGGGGGGGGTCTTTTTAATTTTGTTTTTGTTGTTGAGGAGTGACTTTGCCATGGGGAGCAAAGGGCCTTTTTTTTTTTTTTCCTTGCTTTCAAGCTGTAGCCTGTGATTTTTTTTTTAACCATATTTTGTAGTGAGTGCTAAATTGTGTGACTTCTTGATTTTTAAGTAAATCAACGTATTGCTTGCATGTTCATAATTTTTTTGGGGGGGTTGGGTGTTGTTGTTGGAGGGGTGTGGAGCTCCTTATTAACAATGTGCGTCCATTTGGGCTTTCTAATTTGAGATTTTTTTTATTTCCTTCAATCTGTCTTTAATATCTAGCACATTTCTCCTTTACTTGAGTATCTTATTCCTAAGTAGATCTAACTCTTGCTTCTTCTAGGCATATAATTAGGAGGTGAAGTCTGCTTTAAACTTTCCATACAGTGTCACTTCACTAATGCACACTGACTGAGAAACTCGTTGCAAAATAATGCATTTTGCTAATTAATGAGTAAGCTAACAATAAAGCAGGGAAAACGCGTCACAAATGTATTTTGTTTATTTGACTAGACTAGCTTTAGAACATTGTTACCTACCCCGTTATTAAGCGATGATAGCTTCTCTGTAGTTTGATCTGTCAAAGCAGTAGCAAACAGTTCCTGTCCTCAAAACTGCAGGAAAGAAGTTTTCCTAGAAACTTGATGTACTTTGAAAAGAAAATGTTGATTCTTCTGAGACATGTGGGGAGGTTGTGGAAAACATTTTTTGTCTTTTTCTTCTTATGATTATCCCTCTACTGTATTTTGTTTGAGTTCTTTGAAGTGCGAGGAGACGACAGTGCATATGCAGGGATCAGTTTATGATGTCTGCACTAAGGTAGGCAGGAGGTGGAGCACGTTGTCTCCAGAGCTGTTAAAAGCACTTGTTGCAAAGAGGAACCAGTGGACTGCCCAGGGATCAGCCATGGAGAGACTGAGTATTTGCTGAGCACAACAGAAAAGGAGAACCTGTGGTAATCCATTGCTAAAAGGACTGTGCAAATGTAGGGCTCTTTCTTGCTTTCCTTACCCACAGACAACAATAGAGGATGTAAATCATGTTTAGGTCAGGGAAATTCTCCCAGCAGGCTCAATAAGGTTTTAATTTCTAATGCGATGTGTATAAATCTGAAGAAAAGGAATGTGGGTCACAGGGTCATATATATATATATATATATATGAAATTGGTCATTTTTAATCCTTGGCTTTTGCCTTTCTTTTGCTATGTGCAAACAAGGGAGGTGATTGCTAATCCTGCTTCCTCCTCAACATTTCCAATGGCCTGTACCTTTTCTAGAGATTGTAGTTTGGATGAAGAGGAACAGCATTCATTAGGCTGAATGAACATCTTCATTCACTATATTCCTTGACAGTAAGAGGGGTTGTTTCAGTGCTTACTTGAATTTATTTTTTTGAAACTTAGAGGATGTCACATGGATTGCACTGAAATATATGCAAACTAATTTCCACTGAAATATATGGTCACCTTAAAGCCTTTCTTCCTCCTGCACTTTTTAAAAGTACACTTTACTAATGTGCTGCATAAAATGGGTCATAGTGGTGATTCACTACCAATATTCTGCCAACCCATACACAAAAGCTCCAAATGTTTTGTGATATATTTTTTTTAATTATTATTTATTTATTTTCCTACCAGAGTGCAAATTAGTGAGGTGCTCCCATATTCTAGTATGGTCAGCAGTGTTTTGATATGTTTCCCCACCTATCAAACAAGAAACTGAAAATAATTAGATTAATTTATATTACTTTTACTGAGAAGATGCAGAAGTGCAATATTCTGAATTAAGTACAACATTATTGTGCTGGAGGGAGCCAGAAACTAGATTAGCTTCAATACATGAAGCATTTAAAATGCTGGGATTTTTTTATTATTATTCAGTGCTGCAGAGGTTAATTCATCCACCAAATAACATTTCTCCCTGCTCTTTACATTCAGCATCTATCTTACTGTTGGTGTGTTCTGGAGAAAGCGGTTTGATCACAGGACTGGTTATCTATACAGCTCTGTTTGCAGGATTGTTTATTAAAATACTATCTCTGAATTCAATAGGAATTTATGGAGGGGGAAGATGGCTTTGCCTCCTAAGATAGCTTTTCTTGTTTTGCTTATGTAATTTTTACTTTCATATTGGTGGGAAAATACAGGGTTATACAGAGGTACTGGTGTAGGATATGACTTGTTCTGTTGGAGAGTTGTTTTTTCCCCTTTATTTTCTGTCTAAAACTTGCACCTCAATCAAAATGAGAACATTCCAAATGTTTTTAGTGAGACCAGAGTAAAATCCAAAGTTATTAAGGTCATTATCAAATGGTTAGCTGATACTACTTGCTTGGTATTATCTTCCAAGTGTTAGGCAGTTCTGCCTTTCCTAAGAGGGAAGAAAAAGCCCCCTCTTGATTTTATGATCAAAAGGCCTGTATAATACTAGACTACAGATAATCTGGAAAGAGGGAATGAAGCCAGAACAGTCAGAAGTTAACCTGCAGAATGCTAAATGTCCTCTTCATAGTGTCAGACACAAATTTAAAAGGGAGCATTTTAAGGGTCTTGTATGTCTTGATGTTTATGCAACCTGTAAGGAAAGCTGTGCAGTGGTGAAAATGTACTCTTCAGTTATGCTTACAAAACCAGTGATGCCATGCAAGGGCTAAAGCAAAACACTTAGTTCAAAGTTAAATACCTACTTTCACAAGAATTTAATGTTGAGAGTCAATGATGTGCATGGTACTGCTGAATTTCTATATGCCACAGCTTTCTGCATTAGTCTACCATGTTCTTTCTTTCCTTTGAAACAATTAGCTCTCACTTTATTATAGGATAATTTTTGAGGTCTTGGTTAAACACAAATCTTCTGTTGCAACAACAATGAAGGTGTTAGGGCACATGGCAGGAGTGTATGTCATTCAATTTTGAATATCCCAAAGCTATAGTTACTGCTGAAGTTAAATGTGGCTTCCCTTTTTCTTTATTGCAGAAGCATTAAACAATAAATATACATTCCAAAATAAAAACTACTGTCAGGAAAGAATGTTTAAACCCTGTATAATTCTCACACTCTTACTCTCAAAAGTAAAGCAGCACCTTTTATTTAAAATTAAGGATACTAAGGCTATCCAGCAAAACTGGGAATTGCTTTGTCAGCTTTTGACCTGGCAGAGCATTAAAAGCAGTTGGGTTCTGAATGGCTGAGACCTACATGTGCTGGCCTCTGCAGTAGGTAGAAATTTACTTTGGCCATATAAAGCCATTTTACTCGTCTCAAAACAGTTGTAGCATGACAGATGATCAAAAATAGCCCCACTGCAGCTTATGCTGTCAATCACCATGTGTGAAATGGCAGGGTGGTGAGGAGCCTGCAGAGGGTTTATGTTTATTGTAGGGGTAAGATGTGGCAAAGGGATAATGTTTCATAACTTTACCACCTGTTAGTTTCTTGGCTTAAATAAAACAAGTCACAAGAGTTGAAGTGGGAGCACATGTATCTTTCTGTCTTGTTCAAGGATATGGCTGAGTGTCCTGATGTCTTCAGAAAGTCTTAGTAACATCAGTTCAGGTCAACACAAGCAGCTAGATCAGCTTCTGTGCTGTCTCTTCTGTTAGAATTACTCTCTTTCATAAATGCTGTATGTAAAGATTCCTTTGATGTCATGTTAAATGGACTCGTAATGATGCAGAAAAGGCTCTCGGTGACTTCACATTTGGTTTGATACTTCTTTTCTTAACAGTTAAAAAAAGGTGGTGGTGTATTTATTAGGATTGTACTTGATTGGTGACCAATACAAAATGCTTGTTTATACTCATCCATTTTGTACGGAGAGCTCGGGTAATGATGTGTATTTAAATGCACAGAGCCAGCCTAAGTATGCTTCAAATGCACTTCTGGCTAATCACTTCATAAATTAGGTGAGTGTTAAAAACCCAACTTACAGTTTCGGTTTATGTTTTCTTTCCCTTCCCAATCCCTATTTGTCACTCTTCTTTTTTTTTTTTTCTTCCCCATTTCTTCCTTCACACAGTAGGAAATGAATTTTGTTGACATGTTGGGTTTTTACGATTGTGGTGCTCATGTCTTGAACACAGCAACTGAACATTTCTCTCTGCTAATATTCCTATTCAATCAACTGAGCTCTTTTTTTCTTAAAAAAGAAAACTAGACTGTTCTAAAGCCTGACTATCATTTATTTTAAACTATGTTTTGCTATTAATCTAGTTGACAGTGTCCCTTCTGATTGAAATGTTTCCTCGTTGACCACTTAAGTAAATCTTGAAGTTATTTTAAAAACAAAACAAACGAAAAAAACCCCCTTTCCATTAAATCTTGAATTTGGAGAAAAGAGGACAGTTTTTTACCGTTGCAATTTGCATCTGTGCTTACGGTGTGCTTAAAAGGTTGGTGCATTTTTTAGAGTTCTCTGTAAAGGTAAAGTTCAGTAGGAAATAGTAATAAATCTGTACAAGCGGTTTTTCATGGATTTATAAAGATTCACTGAGTAGAAAGAGTTGCATATATGAAGGACTCCTCTGTGGAAATCCAGATGCAAGACAGGGTTATGAATGTCAAATAAGAATTCTATTGAGTGTAGTATTTTTTTAAAAATCGTATTACATGATAAAATACAACTATGAGCTGAACTTGTATGTACACCTGTGTGCTAAGACAATGATAAGACAAGTTTTCCCAACTGAAGGGCTAAGCAAACAAGCCAAGGAAGCAAGTTTTGTGACTTGGAGAAGATGAGAAAGCGTGTCCTGATCTGTTCAGAATGGTTATTTCTTAAACTGTAAATTTGTTTGTTTGTTTGTTTGTTTTTCTACTTTTGTTAAGCACCAGATCTAGTTAGACTTAATCCTATGCCCACCTCCCAAAAAACTCTATGCTGTATGTCTTGCATAGAAATAAACAAGCTGGCACAAAACAGGACATCAGTGGCCTGATAATCAAACAGGTTTGACCCTTGTGTCCTTATGAACTTTATAAAAGTGTGATGCACATGTACTTAGGAGTCACTGTTATGGATTTTAATAGCATCTATGTAGCTTCCCCTCAATGGCCTCTTGTGACGGAGTGAGCTGCACTATCGTTCGTTTGGAAAGTGTGATTCTTGCTGTGTTTACCACACTTGTGAACTTTATTTAAACTCCTTTGTCGCCTGTGTTGGTTTTTTTTTTGTTGTTGTTTTTTTTTTTTCTTATTTTTAATAAGGGTGACTGAGGTTGCAGAGAAATTAATGTGTGCTGAGTCTGCATAGCAACTTAAGTAGGGTTGCCACAATACACTCTTCCCCCTTCTGTCCCCGAGAAGACTTTACATAAAGTCAGGGTTCAACTGTTTTGTTGCCTTATTGGCTTGGCTATTGTCAAACTCATTACAGCGATGCTGTCAAACTGCTCAGTTACTAATAATAAAAGTACTGCAGGAAATAATTTTACTAAGAGTCGAGTAGTTGAGTGAGAAGCAGGGTAATAAAAATGTGACTTACAGGTGTTTTGAAAAACAAATACGGCTGTTTTCCAGCTGGAACAATCAAGCTGACTCCTTTCAAGTTGTCTTAAAACTGACATCAGTAATCCTGGTCCTTCTAAAGATTTTAATAGCGTTAAACATAATATCCTGAAGGAACATGAAACACTCCTACTTAACTCAGCTATAATGCTGTGCTACGGAGTGATGCTTCTCTTGGGGACAGCCAAGTGCGAATTGGTCCATTCAGCCTAGTTATTGTGGCAACCCTATGCACATAACAACAACTAAATTGAGTTTGTTTTAGTTCGGAGTATGGATGTGACGCTTAAGTGCTGACTCACGTACCGACTCTAACTCCCTCTCCCATCTTTCAACAGGATCCCTGCTCACTATGTCTATCCACAGGCTTTTGTGCAGCCGGGAGTGGTAATTCCCCACGTTTCGGGGCGCCCCCCCGCGGCCGCCGCTGCTTTCGGGCAGTACCAACCCCAACAGCTGCAGGCAGACCGTATGCAATAGCAGCTGGACTCCTGAAGGAAGCTCGCTCTTTCTCTTCCTCTTTTCAGCCTTCCAGTATAAGTAGTTAATCGGAGACAACTGGTAATTAACTAAGGAGCTTTTAAGGAAAAAGCGATGCTATTGCGAAACTAAAAGCCGCGGCCGCCGCTGCTTTCGGGCAGTACCAACCCCAACAGCTGCAGGCAGACCGTATGCAATAGCAGCTGGACTCCTGAAGGAAGCTCGCTCTTTCTCTTCCTCTTTTCAGCCTTCCAGTATAAGTAGTTAATCGGAGACAACTGGTAATTAACTAAGGAGCTTTTAAGGAAAAAGCGATGCTATTGCGAAACTAAAAGAATTTTTATTCCACTGTCTTCATACAGGATGCATCCAAAATCGTGTTGTTAGAGGGGAGGGGTAGTGAGGCATGTCTAGTTTCAAGTATCAAGCCAGAAGAAAATGGGGGGAAAAAAAAACCAAACCCCAAAAATACTGTACTGCCATGAAAGAGTGGCAGGAGTAGCAATGGGACTTCATACTTTCAAACAAACAAATAATCAAGAACCAAAAAAAAAAAAGACAAGGTGTACTTTTTACAGTATCAGGGAAGCAAAACTGCCTTTTTTTTTAAGTAAGAAAATGGTATTTGAAAAGTTTGAACCGGGGAAAAAAAACCTGAGTCAGCAATATGTAATCTTGATCCATTTTAAGAGGAAACGAGCTTAAAGCACTGATTGTCCTTTCTAGCTTTCAGAAGTTGTCTTCGTGAGATAGTTCCTTCTCACTGTCTCACTAACGGGCACCGAACAAGCCAAGGAAGATGGCTGGCTAGTAAGATGGCGGACAGGCACCAAAGTTATTTTCTTCTCTGTCCTCTGGATGAGTGGAACTATGGAGCAAGTGATGTGGAAGTAAGGGGTGCAACAGCTGTAGAGACAATCAATAACACAGACAGTTCTGGACAGAACACATCACTTGTGCTCATGTGATGAGCTTGTCACATCCTAATCCCTCGCCCCATCCTGTTTCACTTTTGGGAAACTTTAACTGCTGGTGTCAGCTATTCTGATTCTAAAATAGGATCAGCCCTTTACTACAACAGCCTTCTCTTTCTATTTATTGCATCTATTCGTAACTTGTGAATAAAGGCAGGAAGAAGCTTAATGAATTAAAACCTTTAAGAACTGTTTTAAGGGAATTTTCTTTTCTGAAACCATTTGTACAATTTTAATATCTATTTCAGGATTATATTTAAAATATTTATTAGCAAACGTACAGTACACAAGGCGACTTTTGTTACCGAGACTGCAGTTCTTGAAGGGTTAATGGTATGTGATTTATACTGTGCCTTAATTGTTATGCTATTTAAAAAGAAATATTTATTTTGAAAGTTTTACTATGCTGCGCTCTAAAGAAAGCGACTTTAGATGTGACACTGTAAAATTATGTATTCATCTCATGGCATAAATTATTTAGTAGGCTTAGATGTAGCATATTAAATATTAACCTAATTAACTAAGGATGTTGACTTGGATTTATTTAAATTCAGTATGTGCACTGTATGAGGGTACTCTTTAAATTAACACTTTTTTTAGGTTTTTACATAAAATATTGCTAGTTCATTCTTTTTCCCTCTACTAGTTTTTCATGTAGACCTCTCAGATACATTAGTGCCGTTTTCTCACTCATCTGTACGTAGACTGACTATTTTTTCCCTTTGCTAGAAAATGCTGCTTTACATTGTCCTGTGAAACTACAATACTTGCAATTTTTATTCTTGACCGAAATGGAATTTAATATTTTACACTGTATTGGATTTTTTTTATACTTGAACAATTTCATACAAGGGAAGACAGGATAGCATTTTTATGGACTTTATCCGATGTCACTGGATTTATTTTAAGTATTCTGAATACTAGCCAGTGTTATAATGTAGACATGACTCTCCTGTGCATATTATTTATTCAGTATGTATACTGCTTTACAACATTTCGGATCTCTTAATCTCTTCACTCGTATTAGAACAATAAAAACATGTTGTCGCACCCTGTCTAGTGATGTTCTTGCTCAAATTGTCTTGGATCTCGTTTAGTTAAAATTGGGGGGTAACCTTTTGTGTCATTTTCCTGGTCTAGGGTGAATAGCAGCAGATGCACTGACTTGAAATACGTAGACTGATATGAACTGAAGTTCTTCACTGTGAGGGTGGTCAGACACTGGAACAGGTTGCCCAAGGAAGCTGTGGCTGCTCCTCCCTGGGAGTGTTTAAGGCCAGGCTGGATGAGGCTTTGAGCAACCTGGTCTAGTGGAAGGTGTCCCTGCTGCTGGCAGGGGGGTTGGAACTGGATGATCTTTAAGGTCCCTTCCAACCCAAACCATTCTGTGATTCTATGATCCATCCTGAGACTTATAATTCAGAGTGGAAGGGACTTTGGCACGTCCCAGGTTGCTTATGGCTTTGTCCAGTCAGGTCTTAAAATCCTCCATGTGGAGACTGCACAACCCCTCTGGGTAATAATCTGTTCCACTGCCTCGTTATCCCCATAGTGTCTTTTTTTTTTTTTTTTTTCCTATCTAGCCAGAGCCTCCCCTGTTCCTTTATAACCTTCAACTCTCATTCTTTGGCAGAGAGCCCAGCCCTGTCTTCTCAGTAACCTCCTCTTAGGAACTGGAAAGTTGCTGTTCTCTTCCATAGGCTAAACAAACCCCACTGCCTCAGCTTCTCCTCACAAAGTCTCTTGCTTCAACCCCCAGCCATCCTGTTGGCTCTCCTGTGGAGTCGTTCAAGTTTATCAACAGCTTTCATGTACTGGGAGACTCCAGACTGGACCCACTATGCCAGCTGTGGTCTAATGTGTCCTGAGTAATAGGGAATAATCAATTCCCTTGACCTGCCATCTGCTCCTGCTGATACACTCTGATGTACTTGACCACTGACTCCTGTTCAACCTGCCCCAAGAGTTCCATGTCCTCTTCAGCAGAGCTGCTACCAAGCCAGTCATGCCCTGGGCTATGCATTCAGTTAGTCTGGCTGAGATAAAGGACTCTCTGTCCTCACCGAATTTCATGAGGTTCATGTTGGCCTAGTCCTCCAGCAAGTCTGAATCCCTCTGAATGACAGACCTGATCACAAGCCTATCAACTACATCCTCCATTTAGTACCATCAGTCTGCAGACCTGATAGTACTGCATCCTGTCAGTTCCTCCAGGTCATGGATAAAGGTATCAGACAGGACAGACCCCTGAGGAACTCCAATGTAACCAGCCTCCAGGCAGAGCACGAACCCTTCTGATCAGTGACCAAGTCAGTTTTTCACCTATCCAGACAGGACCACCTGAATGAAATTGGATACAAGGGTTCTGTGGGAGACTACATGGAAAGCCTTGCTAAACTCAAGGTAGACAACATCCTCTGCTTTCCCCTCATTGACAGATGAAGTCATCTCATCACAGGAGGAAATTAGGCTGCTCTGGCATGATTCACCCTTGTAAATCCATGCTGGCCGTTCCAAATCACCACCTTCTCCTTCATGTGCCCAGAAATTACTTCCAAGATTGCTCACTCCATGATCGTTCTGTAGTTCCCTAGATTGTTCCCTTCTTGCCGTTTCTGAAGATGGGTGCATCATCTGCCTTTCTGCAGTCACGGAAGACCTCCCCAGTCTCCATGACCTTTCAAAGATGATAGGTAGCAGTCTCACAATGGCAACAGCCAGCTGTCTTAGTACCCTTGGGTGTAGCCCATCTGGTCCCCACGGACTTAGGTGGATTAAGATTCAAGAGGTGCCTGAATCAATCCCCTTCCACACCTGGCAGTTTCTTTGGTCCTTGAACCCTTCATAAAATCATAGAATCATAGAATGGTTTGGGTTGGAAGGGACCTTAAAGCTCATCCAGTTCCAACCCCCCTGCCATCAGCAGGGACCCCTTCCACTAGACCAGGTTGCTCAAAGCCTCAGCCAACCTGGCCTTGAACACTTCCAGGGAGGACCAGCCACAGCTTCTCTGGGCAACCTGTTCCAGTGTCTGACCACCCTCACAGTGAAGAACTTCTTCCTAATATCTCATCTAAACCTCCCCTCTTTCAGCTTACCCCCATTTCCCCTTGTTTTGTCATTAACTGCCCTTATGAAAAGTCCCTCCCCAGCTTTCTTGTAGCCCCTTCAGGTACTGGGAGGCCGCTATAAGATCTCCCTGGAGCCTTCTCTTCTCCAGGCTGAACAGCCCCAACTCTCTCAGCCTGTCCTCATAGGAGAGGTGCTCCAGCCCTCGGATCATCCTGGTGGCCTCCTCTGGACTTGTTCTAACTCGTCCAGGCCTCTCTTGTGATGGGGGCTCCAGAACTGGACACAGCACTCCAGGTGGGGCCTTACAAGAGTGGAGCAGAGGGGCAGAATCACCTCCCTCGACCTGCTGCCCACGCTGCTCTTGATGCAGCCCAGGACACAGTTATTTGCCTTCTGGGCTGCGAGCGCACGTTGCCGGCTCATGTTCAGCTTCTCAAAAAGTACAAAGTACTTTTTTTGAAAGTACTTTCTTCCTAAAAGTACAAAGTGTTTGTAAAAACCTAAAGGCCAGGGCACCTTTTTGCATATAGTACTTGAACTGGGAAGCACTGAAGTAGCTGCTCAGATCCAGTTGATGATATATTTGTAATTTCTAGTAATACTCAACGTTTCAGTATCAGTCCAAGCCACTAATGACCAAAAGCAGTTGCTACCTGACGCCTGAAAGGAAGCTTGTGTGAAATGCATGACAGTCTTGGCCAGTTCTTTGAGGAATGGGGGGAATGTTCATACAATCTTCATCTTGAAATTCATTCCTGCAGCTGTCACTCTTACAGTGACTTCAGCAGTAGCACAAGCTTCACTGCAGAATTTGAACTGTTCTTTCATCCACAAAAGCGGTCTTTTTCTTCTGCAAAAGAGGGCAGAAGTGAAATTGAAATGATAGGAGAACAGTTTTCCTGGTCTTGGGTTCAGACTACATTTCACCATGGAGGAATATGAGACTCAGATGTCCAGAAATGTTACACTCACTAACATCCTGGGCTGTTGCTGTCATGGTCTGTTCTTAACGAGGGCTTAGCGCCTGGCTGCTGAGAAGTGGTGCCAAACTGCCTTTTGCAATCTGACCTTAAGATCTGCGACCTTGAAGAGCGCAATGTAGTGTTCTTTCTGCTAAGAAGCATGTAAACACCCAGCAGGGAGGTAAGTAAGAAATGCTTAATAAATGCCATTTTCTACTCTGTTCTCCCACTTCCCCATCCTGATCTTCCCCAGGGATGGT